ATGTAACCTTCTCAATAAAAGTATCTCTTTTGGTAATCTTGCGGCATCCTAAAAGTGTGTCCTGGACAATACCCATCACTGGCCGATTTGACTGAGGCGACACAATGCATTTGGGGACCATCATGAGCTCCGAGATCTCTGCACGGGCCTCGTGTGACTGAGGCACGTGCATGTTCATTTCATCCCCATCAAAATCGGCATTGTATGGCGAGGTCACAGACAAATTCAGGCGAAAGGTGGAGTGAGGCATGATTTTTATCCTGTGCCCCATTATGGACATTTTATGAAGGCTCGGCTGCCTATTCAACAGGACCAAATCCCCATCGTTCAAATGCCTCTCGACCTAGCATAGTCGATTCACCAAAATTAGCAACTATGTATAAAAATTGAATAAGCAGCCATTCTCGCACATAAAAAGCAAGCTGCTACCACCTTATAACCGAACTCAAGGTGAACAGTATCGTTTTTCAAGAAACGGAGATCAAGCCTTTGACCGTCGTCCCTAATTATGTATTTGGCGCCGGTTTTGCCAGGAGAGAGATCATCAGGCCTGTTCTTCACAAGCTCTCTCAATCTGCTTTCAGGCCAAGTCATCATGAATAACCAAGAAAAATTTATATTTAAAACATGCAGAACTAGCAAACCTTTCGATATTATACGGAGTCACAGTTTCCGGATATGTAAGATTCTGGGCAATACTCCAAGGCACTCCAAGTTCATCTATATTGATATTCGGATCAGGAGTGATCACTGTACGTGCCGAAAAATCTACCCTCTTGCCCATCAAGTTCCCTCTGATTCGACCTCCTTTTGCTTTGAGCCTGCTGCATATCGATTTAATCGGTCGGCCATTCCTTTGGGTAGCCTATAGTGCACATCACGCATATTACATGCAAGTATCTAAAAGCTAGAGATATTCTGCATAATAGGAGATAAAAGGAGACATTCATTACCCTGGGCTGTCCCGGCAACTCATTATCAAAGTAAGTGGCTATGTGAAACTGCAGCAATTGTGCAAATTCAGATATAACGTGCGGGGCAGCCCCACTTTTCGCTTGCTTTCTCAAGTTCTCATTGTGCCGAATAATCATCGCCAGTTGATGGGTTAGATCATCCTTCATTGAACAAATGATATAAGCCGTAACTTTGACAGTAACATACTTTTGCTTTTAGTAAATAATAATTTACATAATCATATTACCTCGCTCCTAAAACTAGAAGAAGTGCCCATCATTACAGAAGGTCTAACGGCTGGCGGTGGTATTGGGAGAACCTGGAGAATCATCCAATCCGGACGGGCATATTCTGGGTCCAAACCCAATAAACGACAATCTTCATCGGTTATTCTCGTTAAAATATTGAGAACCTGGAAAAGTTACAAAGCCCGAAAAGTAATGTTAACCTGACCCAACCCACATTTCAAATTTGAAGAAAGTGAATTGATTTGTCACCATTACCTTCTCTGCCGAAAGCTGTTGCTTCCTCTCGACGGGCTCCACTTTCTGCTCGGGCTTGTACTGTGCAGTCATCTTCATACCGTCGATGGAAATCTTAGGCTGTGGGGCACCACATCCACCTTTGGTCTTCTTCAAGTGTCCTTCAGAGTCGAGCTCGGGCTCGGACCCTGTTTTGCATGTCGACTTTTTTCGGCATTCCTCAACTATTTTTCTCAGCCTGCTTTTGGGATTCCTGATCTTCATTGCCTGCTTGAACTTCACATCCTCCTGAAAATATGCAGATGCAGTTGTTATTTCCAAACACTTCGAACAATTTCTTGAACAGAGTATCAGATTTCAATATTTCTTTCCATTTTAAGCATCGGAGGCTATTTAATTACAAATTAACGACCACAAATTTTCCCTCGTCCTGAACAAGTTATGGTTCGTTTGTTTAAGCCAATTGAGGCACCATTATCAATACCTCATCGACCAAAATCCTGGAGCAATTGAAACAAACGCAGCGGAGGATTTTGAGCACGGATTTCATGAAGCCGATGTGGAACATGGGCTTCGCGAGCTCGAGGTGGCCAAAGTGGCCGGGGCAGTCGGCCACGCCGGCCATGCACGTCTCGCACCTCATCCGCCGGTCGACGGGCCCCAGCCGCGGGTCGCTCAGGCCCGCGGGCTTCGGCTTACCTCTTTCGATGGTGTCGCCGTGCTGTATACGCACCACCGACATACCCCTCTGCAAGAAAAAAACGATGGCAAAAAGTTCGGCAGTTACCACAAGTGTACTCGGAAAAATAGCCCCAACATAAATTCAAATATAATGCGGCGGAGGGTTACAATTTCTTCGGGGCTAAGGATTCCGAACTGGACGGCTCGGATATTGGCGACCTCGGCCGTCGAGTGCGGGAAGCGCAAATCCATGGCAGTTTTCTGGTTAGAGTCTAGGGTATTTTTTACCCCTTCGTTACAGATTGATTATTAGATTTCTTTATCAAATTATTAGTTTTAGAATCCTTTTAGCGAATGAGAACGGGGATTTTTATTCCTTCTGTCGTTTTATCTTCCTATGGATGTATGAGTTATCGCAGGTCGGCGGCTATGGCGTCGAAGAGAGACGAATTTTTTCCAGATACTGGAAATTATGATGAAAAGTTGGGTGTTGGGCAATTTTTATAGTGGTTTGAGGCGGTTGGATGAAGAAGAATTCACATGGGCCAGGACAATTATTTTAAATGGGCCACTTAAGAATTTCAGAAAGTAATTAGAGCCTGGGCTTTTGCTTAATTTAAGAGAAAATTACTTGGGCCCGAGTCTATCACCCCTATATCACTTCATTCTATCTATAATTACCAAATACATTGAGCTTAAGTGACAAGTTCTTACGCTTCAGAATGACAAAATCTATGTGTCAAAAAATCATGAATCGAAATCAGATTTGGATATAAATTATTATGTTTTATACAAAAATAATTAGTGTTGAATTTGATTTAATGTCTATTATTCATATTAAATCCATGATTGATCTCTTTCTTATTTTCTTCTACAATTGGCTATCATAAACTATTTTACATTCATTTTTCCTATATTACCATATATTATCGTACATTAATTATTATAAATGTTTTATCTTCTTATTTTTAAAATTTTATGACATTTTGGTTTGTATTTTATTTTTCATGTATAATATGTCAAACTAACGATCTTCGATTTGACATCCATTATATAATGCAAAACCTTAATATATATAGAAACCTTAATATACAAAACCTTAA